GGGGGGGGAGTCGGAGAAACTAAATTTTATATTCTCATCAAAATCAAAAGATACTAACATAGAAACAGAATGCAGAAAAGTCAAGAAATCAAAGGTCTCTATTCTGAAGTAACCACTACATTTTATATTCTCATCAAAATCAAAAGGCACCAACACAGAAACAGAATGTAGAAAATTCATGAAAATTATATATTATAACATAACATGAGAAATTAGTTTCAAAGAAAACTTAAGTGCTGTTACATCGGATAGTCATTATAGAGAGGTTTGATTATATATGTTAGACAAATATATAAAAAGAAGTCTTGAGTGCATAGCAGAAAAAAAAAAAAAAAAAAGAAGAAGAAAAAAACCTGGAATAAACCATAAAAACTGATTACAAACTATTGAAAAAACTTACAATTAGATTCCCGTTAGTGAATGAGGAACTTGATAAAGAAGTAAGAAGCGGCAGAGAAATTATGAAGTTGAAGGCCGTCAATTTTATATGTAATTTATACGACAAATAATTTTTGGGCTTGGATCAATGTTCTTCCCCCACTCAAATTGGGAAAAAATTGGCAAATTGTTTATTTAAGGTGGACAAATTAACCCAAATAGCAGTCCACCTAATATGTTAAAAAGCACAATTATAAACACTTTTACCTAATTCAAAATTTTATTATTTTAATCTTAATACCAAAAATACACGGAGTACCTTTTTTTTTCCAAAATAAAACCGCCTTGTCTCATGTGGTCTTTAAAACCTAAAATTTCCGTCACCTCTTCAATCTCACAATATTTTGCAGATTTTCCTTGCCATTTATTTGGGGTAAGAAAATTCTCTCTTCTTTTGCATATTGTTGTATAAAACTACAATTAATATTTGCTGATTAAACTCATGATTAAAATTCTAAGAATTGTCAATTGCCTCTTTCTTCTTTTCCACCCTTTTCTGTTGATTTATGTCTGTCTATATATATAGTCAAACCTCACTGTGACAGCCAATTTGTTTCGAATTTTTTGGTTGTTATAGCGAAGTGCTGTTTCACAAAAAAATTGACTTTTATAGTGAATAACTGTTATATAGGGATACCGTTATAGAAAAGATTTGATCGCATATGAGCTAGCTTTAAATCTAGCATCCGAATGCATGTAGAAGACCTATAGTCATCCTTTGTGTTGGAAATTATATATTGTATTTGATTCTTTGTATTATAATTATTTTCTCAAAAGCCCAAAAAAGTGAATTGATTGCATTAATTGGCTACTTGGCTTTTTCATTTTTAGGAAGATATGTCTCCGACAGGTATAAAAAGAGGCAGAAGCCGAGAAGATATAATCAGCAACTTGCCAATAATGCTGTATTCTGGGCCGGGCCCGGGCCTAAATGGGCCAAATGGGCCGTGCTTAACGAGCCTGGGCTTAGCGGGCCTGGGCTCTGACAGTCCCGGGCTTCGTGGGCTCAACGGGTGGAACCAACCCGTGACGGGCCTAAGCCCATATGGTCCTGTGCTAAATGGGCCGCGCTCGTGGGCTTAGCGGGCCTAACGGGCTTTTTTATTTCTGTTTTTTTTTTTAAATTTTTTTGTTTAAGGCAATTTCTTGTAAACCATATCATGACTATATAATTAATATATATGTAGAAATCTAATTATTAAAGTGTTTGACGAAAAAGTAAAATAACAAAACAATAGTAAAACTAAATTGCCTTACATAATAAATTAATAAGAAAGTACAACATAAAGCATAGATACGTCTAATAATTGTAAAATAACACAAATTGTTGAAATATCTTAAAGACGAATTTGCGGAT